GGGGGGGGGGGGGGGGGGGGGGGGGGGGGGGGGGGGGGGGGGGGTGGGGTCGCGATCGCAGTATTCTGGTCAAAGAGGGACGAACAGCATCATTTCCTGCGCCGTATCTAGCTATCTGATACATGTGCGTCGTTTTGAGGCCGAAGAACTCGCGAGGGGCTCGATACTCTTCGTGTGTGTGGTGGTGAAGAGGACACAGCAGCAGACACGCCTCTCGATAGGAAAAGGGGGACGAAGGAGACGCGAGCCAAGATAGGTGTGCACCCACCGTACATGAAAGCAGGCTAAGTTGTAGTAGTCGGCGAAATACTGTGTGTCTGATACAACTGTAGTTCGTCGCTTGCCCTGGCTTGCAACCCACGACTCAAGATCCAGCGAGTCATCTGACAAAGCCGCGTACCTCCCTCCCTACAAGGCATATTGGGGCTCTTGGTGGTGGCATTCATGACTGTTTCTAACCATCCCCTTGTGGACACGAAAACCTGCTCTAGGCACCATCGACATAGAACAAAAACCAGTCGCGCGACCACATCGGTAACTCTCCGTCGAGACCTACACAACCGAGATAACCTACCCTTTCTCCTAAATCCCATATCCCAGCAACAATCACACCCCGTCCGCTTCAACAATTGCCTGCTTTACTGACGACGATGTCAACAACACAACACACTGACGGACCTGGCCCTTAGACAAATCGAAGACGTGAATGCTCCCGTCCGCGCTCCCGGTTGCCAGCACTAACGAGTGTTGCCAGTCGTTTCCAAGGTCCTTGTACCCCATACCCTCCCCCCCGCGCCCTACCTTTCCACCACTCCCGGAGCCCCCTTTACCCCCCCCTCCGCTCCCACCTCCCCCGCGCGCCCCGCCCCCGTTCCCCCCCTTTGCTAGCCCGAGGCGAACACGCGGAGGACGGTGATGCAAACCCCTGAAAAACGCGCACCTTTTTTTTTTGCCGATACAGCAGTAGCATCGATCGAGGCGACGAGAGGCCAAAAAAAGGGCGAACGGATGCGAAGACGACAGCAGTTACGCCGAGGCCACAGAAAACTCCAATGCATACTTCGGAGGATCTGTGGAATTTTTTCGACACCGCCACCGTCCGTACGTGGCGTCGTATCGTGCGACTTGATTCTCGCCAACACTGGGTGACGTACGCGGGGCTATTGTGCGTACCACAGTAACACAAGGCCCACTGCCGTCTTTTCTCTCTGTATTCGTTGGAACCAAGAGTCAAGTCTAGCCCGTCTTTGTTCCCGTCCCCGCTTGGTCTTTACGGCCGGTTTTTCATCATCGTGCAGTTTGTGGGAAACGAGACGCGCACGCGCGCGGAATCTCTTCCTTTCCCACACGTCGAGCGAACGGCCCTTTTTGTCGGAAAGTGTATTTTGTAGTGGGTGAAATCGGCGTGTGCGCGTCTGGGCGGACGCCTGGAGGGGATCACGTATGCAAGACTCAAGCGCAGCCATCCATCACGGAAGTACGGAGTGGGAGATCTCCGAAAGGTCCAGCTCTGCGAGGGAAAAATCGACCGCTTCAACAACGCTCTACTCCCAATCCCCTGCTCACACTAAAAATCGTGCGCGTGTCCCCCGCCCCCTTCCAAAGCAAGCACGTACCGAATTGGCCAGTTCTTGACGGTATGTCCCCGTAGCGCGTGCATCAGCTCCAGCGACGGCTCCTTAGGCTTAGCCTCCCCCTCCTCCTGCTCACCCCCCGCCCCGCCCGCAGCCTTCCCTGCGTCGCTAGACTGCGAGCTCGTCGACGACATCGCGGAAGAGGCAGCGCCGCCGCCGCCGCCGCTGCTGCTGCCGCTGTGTTTATCACCGGCGGTGTTGGATCGCCGTGGCCGCGGCGGCGGCGGCGGGGGTCGCGAGTTCAAGAAGCGTCGGTGGAATACCCTGAGGGTGTTGTCGAAGCAGTTCGCGGCTAGGAGTAGGCCTTCCTCGTCCTGCCGGCCGGCATCCGGGGGCGACGCCTGTTCGATGGGGGGGGAGTGGGGGGGGAGCGAGGTAAACAGGAGACGGTGAGAGGGACGGTGAAAAAAATGAACATGCTCGTGACTGAAAGGGGAAAGGATGGGAGTTCTCTTCTCCGGTCGAGAGAGTGAGGGTGAGAAAGGAAAGGTAAGGATCCACCAAAACAATACAAAACACGTTTGTTGCGAATTACGTTCACTGTAGCTGTGAAACTTTGCTGTCGAGGGTGGACGCGTGTAAACACTTGATGAGACCTCCACTTTGAGCCAGGGGTCACCCCCGCGAAAAAACTCCAAAACGATACGATCTACTTGTCTATCTACACCGGCGTGAAATACCTGTATGTGCGAGATGTGTATGGGGTCTTCAAGGCTGTACGAGTCCACGACCCCGCCGGTTCTTGTGTCCCATGTCAAAATCTTCCCGCTCGCGTCGGCCGAAACCACCTGCAAAAAGCGCAACGTTCAGGAACTGCGTGATGGGAAAAACACGTCCTCCTCTGTTTTCTCGTGAGAAAAGCAGGTGATCGAGCGGGTATACATGTAGGCTGCGCCGATGTTGAACAACACCACTACCCAGGCCACAACTCTTACCAACAGCTATTTAATAGCGACGCCACACGTCATTTGACGGTCTACTCGGCAAAAATACCGACCGAGCGTGACCACGGCGACACGGGCTAAGGGATGGATGAGCAAACGAACGGAGTCGAGTCGTAGGAATTCCAAGCAACAGGGGCCGCCGACATCTTCACCACGCCTCCGCCGAATGTTGGCGTTTGGGGGAAAAGCACCCTCCATCGGACATTTTTATTCATGCACTCTTCCGTAAGTCCCGCACCCCTCCTCGTTCTGAACTTCCCCCTGCGACGTGCCCCGTGCAAATGTGACATCCCCCCAACCCCCTGCAAAACATCATTTCCGCCCCCCCCCCCCCCCCCCCCCCCCCCCCCCCCCCCCCCCCCCCNACCTTGCTCCCATCAGAGTAGACGTGGAGGGAGTTAACGAAAGCCCCGCAATTCCACTTAGCCACAACCCCCATCGGGTCCCTCGTGTCCACCGTGTAAATCTTCTTGCTCGTCGACCCCGCGTACGCCACCCTTCCCCCGCACGCGCCCCCGACCCCGCCGCCGACCCCGCCGCCGCCGCCGCCGCCAAAACCGGTCGCGACCCCGCCGCCACCGTCTCCTACTCCGCCCTCGGCTCCGCCTTCCGCCGCCACTTGGACGCACTGCACTAATCCTTCGAGCGAGAGCATGTTGCCCACTCTCTGGCCGGTTTCCGTGTCCCACTTGGCGACGGTCTGGAGCGCGGCGAGTGGGGGGGGGGGGGGGGGCGGTCGGCGGTGAGGAATCCTTGCTGTAGCTTGAGAGACAACACAATGGCCGCGACGTGTGATCATAGAGGGTGGGCACGGCAGTAATTACCTGGTAACAACAGGTAAAAGGCTGGCATGGTCATGACGTGTGATCACAGAGGGTCGGCACGGCAGAACTTACCAATAACGCGCACGGCTGGCATTTTACAGCAACGAACGCTTCTTAGTGGTATGTACAACGCTGTGCAACCACAATACCAGAGAGAATGAGATAGAGAGAGAGGCCCGGTTGTGCGTCACGCTCTACCCCCCCACGGTCGTCGGGAGCTCTCAAACTGCGGAGCCCCCAACTACTGATGCCTGCCTAGAGTTCCAGCACCGCCTAACCCATATCCCGTCAGAAGCCAACCAACCTAGCAAAATTTCGACACCACCCCACTTCTGCCTACACTGCGCGTCATCTCCGAGGTGCAACTCATTCAAGCCACAACAGAGCCCCCAAACCTGATCGAACGAAGCGCTGAGAAGCGACCTCCCGTCGGGGGCCCAGCAGAGGTCGCTGATCAACTGGCGGTGCCCCTCCAAGCATGCCACCTGGCTGTAAGGGTAGGCGCCCTCCCACAGCCGCAGGGTCCGGTCGAACCCAGCGGAGGCAACAAGGCTGTCTCTCGGGGAGAATTTGGCCACGTACACGGCCGCCGTGTGGCCCGACTGCGGAAGGGGGGGGAGGGGGGGGGGGGGG